ATATATATATATATATATATAATTTTGTGGTTAGTTTAGAATCTATCACGAAATCTAGGTTTATCGTACATGCAGGAGGAGGTTCCATACTGGGGCCATTTATAAATAGCTGTTAAATTAACTAGGGAATAAATAGTTTTCTTTTAATTATTTAGATTATCTGGTAACGAAAGAGATCGCCCCTGTGGTCTAGTGGTCAGAGTTTCTGGTTACAGATTCAGAGGTCTGGGTTCGATTCCCGGCGCTACGAGATTTTCTGAAAAGTATTGGGTCTGGAACGGGGTCCACTCAGCATCTTGAGGATAACTGAGGAGCTGTATCAAAGAAATAACGGTTCCTGCCTAGAAACCCGAAATTAACGGCCGTAGGGAGTCGTTGCGCTGACCACGCGACAACCTCTATCCTCTATAAAGTTGGCACTAACTTCGCCGACAAGCGGCGGTAGCTCGGTCGGTATAGTTCGCTTGCGAACTAAAACCACGGAATTTGCTTTTGTTTGTTTGGTCACGAAAGAAGACGCCACGAAATTTTGTGGTTATACTCATTACGAGGGTGAAGGTTCCATAATGGGGCCATCGATTTATAAGTGTTAACCATGGGTCACAAAAGTATGCTTGAATTTGTGGTGAATTTAGATAGTGTGTTATATACTCTTGTTTACTCCTTGCAGAATATTGGATAATGTTGAGGGCATTCACGTTCGATAGATGTCATACAAGTTTATATTTCTCAGCCTTTTAACGCCGTAAATTCTCCGCTTCAGGACGTGAGGCTGTATTTCTGGGGAATCGTAAAACAGGGACTCTGCATAAGATTTTATTTCTTTCTTCTTTTTTACTACAGGGCAGACGTAAAGATGTCTATTAACGTGACATCATGAACTGTGTTTACTTCCTCTAACGGTTTATGACATGTTGGTCGATACGGGGGCTCGTTTCTGGTAATAAAACTACATTAGAATTTCAATAAATAGTCACTTGTATCGAAGGATCGCTACTGGCTAGGGATACAGTTCTGAAAACAAAACTGATTAAACTCGCTGTCCTGCAGTTCAGGTTAAATAAAGTGAATATGAATTATACAGTGCGTTCAGTTAAGGAGGAAACTTCGCAACACCGCTGACCGGACCCAATATTCCTCACAGATTGCTGCTGTAACTGCTGATAGCAGAATGAGTCATTAGTGCTGATAAACGCGCGCCGTTACAGTTACAGCAGCAATCTGTGAGGGATATTGGGCCCGGTCAACGGTGTTGCGAAGTTTCCTCCTTGATTGAACATTCTGTACGTCATCAATGTAGTGAAATTCAACCAATATTTCGGAGGAACATATCCACATCTTCAGGTCGAAGTGTAAACGAAGCCAGAAGCCAGTATAAATCAGGCATCAAGCAATAATTTGAATACAGGATGAGACATATATTCATACATTAAGTGATCAAGAATTTTATATTTAGCCCTACGTGAATATTTCAGAATTTAGCAACAAAACGTGAAGTAGAAACAACTCCTCCGAACTCCGTGATTTTAGTCCGCAAGCGAACTATACTGACCGAGCGACCGCCGCTTGTCGGCAAAGTTTATGGTAACCTTTGCGGATAGATTATGTCACGTGGTCAGCGCAACGAATCCCCACGGCCCTTAATTTCGGTTTTCTAGACCAGGGCCGCCATTTCCTTGAAACAGCTCCTCAATTATCATAACGAGGCTGAGTGCACCTCGTTACAGACCCACTACTTCTCAGAAAAAAATCTGTTAGCTCCGGAAATCGAACCCGGACCTCGGGATCTGTAGCCAGGAATGCTGACCACTAGACCACAAAGGCAGTCTAGTATAAACAACTACTGCATTTAATTTAATAAAATAATTAATAAAATGTTATGCAGTTGGAGATAGGAGACTGGCCAAAATGGCGACCAACCCAGTACATATAAATTCTTTATATTTCGTTCGCTGAATTTCATTGATATGAAATTGGATTCCGGTTAATTATATCGTATCGAGATGAATTGTCAATTTTTCTGTTTCGTTAGGAGAATGAAAGACTGACTAACTGCATGGAGCTGAGCCCTTCTTGAGAAGCCGCCAGTTGTGCAGTTACTCAAGAACTTCCCAGCATTTTATGGAACTTTCATTACCATGTTCACAAGAGCTCTCTACTAGTCCCTATCCTGAGCCAGTTCAATCCAGTCCATACCACCTCATCCCATCTCTCTAAGATCCATTTTAATTTCATCCACCCACATACGTCTCGGTCTTCCCAGTGGTCTCTTTCCTTCTGGCTTTCCCGCCAATATCCTATATGTATTCCTCTTCTCCTCCATTCTTACCACCTTTTCGGCATTTCGTAACAAGGATGCAAGACTAATTTATTAAAATACATAATGACTTGATCCTTCGCAGTTTCCATTGCAGTAACCACGATCATTATAGCACAGGACTTGCCGACGAAGGTACTCCCGAAACGGATTCGATATTAACACATTAGATTGCATACCTTGCATATGTATTTTTCTTTAGCTTAGAATACAGACCATATAGCATGGAATGTTCGGATGTTTGATGAATTGGAAAACATTTTGAAGTTGTCGTGGCCTATTTTTGGTAGTATCACGGCATTTGTATGGAGGGGTTGAGGAAAAACACAAAATAGCTCAGGTTAGCTGGTATCGAAACCGAAATTTGAACCGAGCACCTTCTGAAAATAAATCTTGGCCGGTACTGCTACCAAACCTTCTAGATTTGTAATGTATTAATTATATTATACGCAAAATAATACAGCCGGGTGCACACGGTAGCGTAGTTGTTTGAGGCACTATGCTACAAGCCGGGAGGTCGCGGGTTAAAGTCCCGATGAGGTCATTGGATTTTTTATCTGTTGACCTAAAACCTTACCGCCATCTTTGAGCCGATTGTCTAGATAATGTGGGACCCTCAGCGTCTTACAACCCTATGGGCCTTCATGGCCTGTTACAGGATAGCTTTACTTTTTACTTTATAATATAGCCATCAAGTTATAAGAATTATCAATGTTATAAATGTTTAACATGTTTAAATTCCGTGCGTCGTTTTACTGAGTATTTATTAAACTAAAATATATTTTTCAAGACAGGAAATTTTCGAAGTTTCATGATGCCTCCATTTTCAGTATGGAAGCAGCATATACATCTACAATGTGTAACAACACAATAACATAATATCAGTAAGAACCATATGAAAACCTAAGCTCGGTAATCAAGACTTGTTTTCCCCACCTGTTTGGTTGTATTTTCAGTGCGGACTCCCAGTACAACTCGGCTGTTATCAACACAAATGTAATCGTAAATTACGCCGGGGAAGTGGTGTGGCTGAGTCACGGCATATTTCGGAGTTCCTGTGACATCAACGTTGAATATTTCCCCTTCGACGTGCAGAGCTGCACTATGAAGTGGGCTTCATGGACGTATGATGGTTATCAGGTATAGTACACTATGGCTATTCTGTCTCCGGTCCTCCCTGAGAGAGATGCTAGTTGTGTGGGGACGTCATGCAACAGAATGCGCAGTTGGTTTGGCCGGGCCCACTAACAGAGATAAGAATTGTAGCGTGTGTATGGGTTATATGATGTTTTTTTAATTCGCTTAGTGGTTGGTGAACTGCACTGGGTCCACTCGGCACGGCGGCCTCTGATTGGCATATTGTAGCCTGCCCCAGATGATTATGATAATGGAGATTTTTTCCCTTGGCACTACAGTCCCAGTGGGCCTAGGCCTACCTCCAAGAACTTCTCCGTTCACTTCGGTTTTTCTAGATCTTACACATTCGGTAGGACTCCTTGGGCGGGTGATCAGCTCGTCGCAAGGCCTCTCTACCTATACACAAACACAGAAAAACGCACACACACAAACTAAACATCCATGCCCTGTGTGTGATTCGAACCCACAGTTCCGGTTTCCAAGCGAGCGAAGACAGTAGATGCCTTAGACCGCTCGGCTACCGTGACCGGCTAATGGAGAATTTAGTGGATTGAAGATTGTCAGTGGAAACCGAAGTACTCGGAGAAAACCCGCCCTAGCGCCACTTTGTCCACCACTAATCCCACTTGACCAGAACCGGGATCGAACCCGGGCCGCCGCTGTGGGAACCCAGTGACTAACCGCTTGAGCTATGGCGCGGCCTATGGGTTGTATAACTGCTCTAGTTACAGTGGATCTCCCTCCCTCCCCACAGTGCCGTAACAGACACTGCCCCACTACTTCTTGGCTACTTCTCCTCCCTTCTCCTTACGCGCAATCCAGAAGCCAGGTGTAGAAACACGGCCCATACTATTCTTTCCTCAATGACATAAAAGTTAGATGTGTGATTTTGTGAGAACTGTGATCTCACTGTGGTGAGATTATTATCTTCTGGGATATGACGTTCTGTAGTCTGATAGATGTTCGGCGCCATGAAGATGGAGGCATCGTGTTCAGTCAGAACTTTGGTAAACATATACAACAGTACGTTGTGCCACATTCCAGAGGAGAGTAATCTTAAGATATGATTTTGTCTTACGCGCTGACGACACTATGTTTTCTCAAATGTCACTCAACATGTGTTCTAAATTTAAGGTACTAGTCCAGCATTGCGTATAGGGGATAAAAAGAACCCTGACAGATCTCAGACAGGATGTTGCTGTGTTCCCGCTAGGATTAGGTTCGCCCATCTATCGAATACAAGACAAAAATCTTACGGCCATTTTGTTTGTCAGTGTAGTTTCTTAAGAGGAACTCCGCCCCAGTAGATTAGTTACGTAACTTTAGTTCTGAAAGCATCTAATAACTCCGTGGTTTCAGTCCGCAAACGAACTATACCGACCGAGCGACCGCCGCTTGTGGGCGAAATTAGTGCCAAATTTAGCGGATAGAGGGTGTCGCATGGTCAGCGCAACGAATCCCCACGGCCGTTAATTTCGGTTTTCTAGACCGGAGCCTCTATTTCCTTGAAATAGCTCCTCAGTTATCCTCACGAGGCTGAGTGGATCCCGTTCCAGACCCACTACTTCTCAGAAAGTTTGGTAGCGCCGGGAATCGAACCTGGATCTCTGGATCTGTAGCCAGGAACTCTGACCAATAGACCACAGAGGCGGCCGAAGGCTTCTAATGTGTGACCGAATTGGAAATGTTGTTTGTGTGACAAGATAGGTAATCGCAGAGGTTGAGGCCAGTGTATTGGATTCACCTGTTTATGGTTCTCCAAATGTTTAAACTAGTGGCCACTTCATGCAACCTTCTCAATAAGGACTCTCTGTGATTATCGGTTAACGAACCGAAGGATTAGTTAGTCCGAGAGGTTCAAGAAGCAATGAATGGGACCCAGCATAATAACTATAAAGCCCTTTCATGACCATTTTGCCATGAAGGGTTTCTAGCTTTTTGTTGTGATCACTCTTCCTTGTTGGGGGTAGCAACCGCATTGAGGCTCGGAGAAGGATTAGGATGACGTCACTGAGCGCATACAACATTCTATACACGAATACGAACCGAGCAAAGTTATCAATAGCATCTGTAACAAAACATGCCTAATTAAGCTTCGTGCAGGTAATGTTCAGAGCTTCGAAGTAGACAGTAAAATACATATTACTGACCCAACAAAGAATATTTCACAACCAACTTGACATTGAAGAACATGTAACTGGCTCTCTCGTGTAAGTAATGAAGTATTCACTGTCTCTCGCTCGCTCTCTCACTCACTCACACACACACACACACACACACATGGAGCTATGCGATGCTCGTGCGTCTGAGAACAGTTCGATTCTCGGAAGTAAGAAAATGAGGAGCAAGAGGAAGGAAATGAAGGAAGCAAAATAAAGGGAATGAAAGAAAGGAAGATGGGAGGAACGAATGAAAGGAATTAATATAAAAAGAAGGAAAGAGAGTAAGTAAGACAGGTTAAATGAAAGAAAGGAAAATAGGAAGGAAGGAAAGACATAAAGATAAAAGAAACAAATGAAGGAAATACGATAAGAGGAAGGAGAGAAAGGAAATAATACAAGGGGAATGAACGAGCAGGAGATATGAGAAAGGAAAACAGAAATATAGGAGAAAGAATGAAAGAAAGGACAATAAAAGGAATGAGTGAAAGAAAATGAGGTAAGAAGTAAAAAAGAAACGCATGATAGGGAACTGAAAGAAATGAAGGTATGAAGAAGTGAAAGAAGGCAGTAAGACAGGAGAACTTATTTAAAGGAAATAAGATAGAAATAATGAAAAGAAGTGGGATGGGAGAGGAATGAAAGAATGGAAGACGAAAGGAAGGGAAGACAATAATGAACGATAGGGGGAAATGAGCAGTGAAATTCTCTAAGAACTGGGCAGCGGCCTTCTTTGAACGCTATGAACAGAGCAGGTGTAGAGGCAACGACCTCAACTTATGTTAGGAAGGTGCAGTATTACGTATGGATCTAGGATCTAGACGGTTCAGAACCGCATTTTCCTAGCCAATAGCCTGTTCCCTGTACAGAACTGAGCATATTTTTAAATTGTGCTGGCTGGCCAGTACATTTGTACTGTACAGTAACTCAACGGAACAGGTTATCATAGCGGTAAGGCTCTTCGTTCGTATTTGGTTGGTGCATGGTTCGAATCTCGGCCGGGATACCAGGGATTCTGACTCAGGTGTTTTAATGTTATCCTCAGTTTCCGGGTTAGTACCACGATCGTTCCTTTCTAGATACTTTCCTGCTTATCATTTCATCCATCAGCCTATCAGCAGACGCTATGTAGTGCAGCAACTGAGGGCGTCATAATACAAACAAAAACTCCGTGGCCTATAGTCCGCAAGCGAACTATACCGACCAACCGACCGCCGCTTGTCGGCGAAGTTAGTACCATCTTTATCTGATAGAGGGTGTCACGTGGTCAGTGCAACGAATCCCCACGGCCGTTAATTTCGGTTTTCTACACCGGAGGCGCTCTTTCCTTGAATTAGCTCCTCAGTTATCTTCACAAGGCTGAGTGGACCCCGTTCCAAACCCACTACTTCTAAGAAAATCTGGTAGTGCCTGGAATCGAACCCAGGACCTCTGGATTTGAAGCAGGAACTCTGACCACTAGACCATCGAGAGCGTCATCATATTACCCATAAATACACGAGTGTATCACCACGAACGTATACAGTAATTTTTTTTTCTCATGGGGTGAGATTGAGTCCACTTCGTGATGCGGCCACTTCTGGCATATTGTACCAGCCCCAGATGATAGGTGAGGGTGATTGTGGAGCAATTCTTAGAATGAAGATTGGCAGGGGAAACAGAAGTACTCAGAGAAACACTGCCCCACTGCCACTTTATCCACCACAAATCTCACGTGACTTGACCCGGGCTCGAAACCGGGACGTCGTGGTGGGAAGCCGGCGACTAACCGCCTGAGCTATGGTGCGGCCATGTACACTAGTTAGCTGTTTCTATTCAAGCATACAGGATGCTACAGTACATAATTCATAAACTGAAGTGTGTGAAGTCAGTTCCTTGAAGTGAGGCAGTAGTGTGATCAGAACAACCGGCAAGCGCTCCTTGCGCCGTACTGTCTCGGCAACTACTTTGACACTGTTGTCCTGCAGGTCAGTCTAAACATTAATTCAAGTCCGGGTGTTTTCGCGGTTGGAGCTTAACTCTTTAAAGCACAGAGGCTCTCTCTGTGCCGTCTGCTTTAACACTCTAAAACTCTGCATTCTGCCCACAGAGTAGATTAGTGTTTCGTGTGATTCTCACAATAAACAGTGATTATGTCCCTAAATAGCATTAACTGGTTGGACTTTGTAGCGGAGACGTTTCCTGTGAGGTACGGACTGAGTTTTTATATATTGTTTAGAATAAATTCAGTCTTTAAAGGGCTAATGTGCGGCTTCGTTTTCAGGAATAGGTAGCGTTGATGTTGAGGGATTTTCATCGTTTCTGCAGCCCTTGTAGATGCCATCCTCAGGATAAATGACTTCAGGAAGGGTCCTGGCAGCTGCTGTACTGGACAGGATGTTGGTAGTGAAGCTGTGATTGGACGAACAAAGGAGCGGGTTGATAACCAATAGTTAAAAGCGGTAACAATAGATGTTTGAACTACCACTTGTTTGTCGGAACCATTTTCGGCACTTTTCAGTAATCATGTGGAAAATAAAATATTTTTCCCCCACTTATTTTTAGTAACTACATGGCTGTTCCCTTCTGGTTAGGATCCCTTTCCTCTGTTCGTTCAATTACAGCTTCTATAAGAACTACCAACCCTCCCACCCCCCTAAAAATATTAACCCTGAAAATGGTAACTGCAAATCCTGAAAGTTAAAGCAACACATTAATTTCATACGTATGGTGTTCTTAATGCATCAGTCAACCAACACTTGTATAATAAACAAATCAGTACTACTACTACTTCGTTTATTGCATGGAAGCATTGCTACATGTTTCGACCCTGCTGGGTCATCATCAGGCAATCATCACATGATTATGTCACTCGTTATCGAGTTGTTTACTGATATGGAACTAGATCGGCGATTTATAAATTTTCGTTCGGCTTGTGTTATAATTTTAACTGTTAAATTTAAATTATAAATTTCGTTTAAAATCATTAAACACCGATCTGGGTCCATATCAGTAAATAATCCAACAAACGAGTGACATATTCATGTAATGGTTGCCTGATGATGACTCAAAAGGGTCGAAACATATAGCAATACTTCACACAGTAAACGAGTACTAATACAGTATTATAGGGCCGCGCCATAGCTCAAGCTGTTAGTCGCTGTCTTCCCACTGCGGCGGCCCGAGTTCGATCCCGGGTCTGGTCAAGTGGGATTTGTGGTGAACAAAGTGGCGCTGGGGCAGGTTTTCTCCGAGTACTTCGGTTTCCCTTGCCAATCTTCATCCCACCAATTGCTGCACAATCACCCTTACCGGTCCCACCCCACTAGCAATAAAAAAACAGTATTATGCCGGTTACGGTAGCCGAGCGGTCTAAGGCATGTACTGTCTTCGCTCAATCGGAAGCCGGGATGGTGGGTTCGAATCCCACTCAGGACATGGATGTTTAGTATGTGGTGTGTGTGTGTGTGTGTTCGCGTGCGTTTTTCTGCGTTTATGTGCAGGTAGAGGCATTGCGACAAGCTGATCACCTGCCCAAGGAGTCCTACCGAATGTGAAATGGAGAGTTTCATGGAAGTAGGCCAAGGCCCAAATTAGGGCTGTAGCGCCAAAGCAAAAATAATAATATAATATTATTGATTTGATTGTTGACTGATATATTAAGAATATCATATATATGATAACATACAACGGGATGGGAACAATAAAGATATATTAATTTCAGGTTCTAAAGTAATTGTGTTCTGCGTAGCTGGACCTGGTGAAGCAGACAGAGGACGGTGACGTCACCAACTACCAGGCTAACGGTGAGTTCGACCTGGTCAGTTTCGATGCTGTCCGACATGTCGAGTTCTACTCATGTTGTCCAGAGCCCTATCCTGACATCACATACATCATACAGCTCAGGAGGCGACCTATGTTCTACGTTTACAACCTCATTCTGCCTTGCATACTTATCAATGGCATTGGTAAGTAGCGTGTCAGATTTTTCTCAAAAATTTTAAATTGCTTTGTTATTTTAGAATAATTTACTACTTTTAATGCAGACTTTTTTTAAATACATAAATTTTGCAGGCTTTAAACATTTTGCGAATTATTGAAAAGTCTGAAAAATATTTGCTATTTTTGAAAATGTTTATGTATTTGAAAAGTCAAAAAAGTTCGAAAATTTTAGAATTTTGTAAGATTCTGAAGATTTTGAAAACTATTTATATTGTTGGGTAGGTCACGCGACAATATTTTTCCAAAATTGTTGAAATTTTTATTTTTTTAATTATTAACAACTTTGAAGCTTTGAAATTAATTTGAAAATTTGAGAATTTAAGGATTGGAGACTTTTTCGAAGATTTGACACACACACATATATATATACGCCTTTAAAATTTAGAAATTTATTGTTTTAAATTGATAATAATTTTGGCAATTCTTGTAACTTTCTAAATTGTTCATGAGTTTTGAAGTGTTCCAAACTTTACATTTTCGAGATTTTTCACCTTTTGAACAATTTTGAATTTTTTAGCCTACTTTCCCTATTTTGAAAAAAAAAATAGGCTTATCAGATTACCATGTTGTCTGCGTGCCTCTGAATCCCCCCTTCATGAAATTTTAACGCATAAACCACTCCTTATTTTAAATTATGAACAGTTTCGAATTTTTGATACATATATTTTTTTTTTATTTTAACTTGGTCAGATTACGTAATGTTAGATCTGAGGTTCTCAGAGCGGTCGTTGTAAATTCTGCCTTCTGGGATATACCGTCGTGTATTCCGGTGACAGTCAGCCAACACTTCCATCGTCAGGGCTGAAGAGGAAGAGAGGACGTGCTCTTTTGAGTGCCGGTTGACTACACGGCGTTATATTCCAGAATACATAACTCTTCAGATAGCGTTAGGTATGATTACGTCAAGTTGGGTTTGCGCAACAAACCACTGCGCATTCCCATCCATCCATATGCACATTCAGACAGTGTTTATTCATATTGCGTAAAGTCTGGTTAGATTATGTTGGTTTAGGTTGCCGCATCAAACCGCTTTGCACCCACCTGTGCATGGAAATGTTCGATTGTTGTCGAAAATTTAAAGACGTTAATTTTTGTAAGAATCGATATAGCTCAATCGGGTTTACGACGGGCTACAGGCTGGACGTCCGGGTTTCGATTACCGGCAGGTGCAAGAATTTCTTTTCTCCATAGCGTCCAGACGGGCTTTCGCGCCTACTCAGCCTCCTCCGGGAGTTAAGCGGCCACGGCGTGAAGCTGATCACTCACCACCTATGTGCCGAGGTTAAGTATGGAGGAACTACAACTTCACTTCACCATGCATCTTCATGCCGTGATGCTCAATCATTAAGCACCGGGGCAACTTTACATTTATCTTCATGCTTTTAAATTTTCTGAAATCTGTAAATCAATGGATATTCTAATTTCTGTAATGTTTGAATGTTATATATTTTCAGTTTTAAAATCTTTAAATATTTTCATTTTTTTTAATCGCCGACTTCAACGACTGACACGTTTGCCAGTGCTTATCAGTTATTTTCCGGTGTGCGTACCAGCTGGATAAAGGATAGCATACGCCTGTATAAGGGAATGCCGGGAAAAAATTGATTTGAGTGTATATATATGTATGCACACATGCATGTATACGTACACACATGCGCGCACGTAGGGTACCGCCATGACAGTTTCAAGCAAGGTTGTAAATAGCCATTGCACGAGTTTTCTCTTTTGCATGCTTGCAGAATTGTTCGCACATGAGTAAGCGATTTTCTGATGTTAGTTGAGTAGTAGAGGCTATTAAATTGCGAATTTAATTACAGTAATTTATTAAACAGTTTACCGTTCGGTTTCGGAATTTTAATAATGATAAAAGAGTAATTATTCTTATTATCTGTGAGCGAGAAGGAGGGAAGCAGTTGCACAGTAGAGATCTGTGTTCAAGTTTCTTCAATGTTTGCTGACAGCAGTATATTTCAGTGACGTCTGACTCCCATTATAGATAATTTATGATTGTCTCTCGCATCTGGTCTCCACTTCATTGTCTTGCTTTCGCCACACTCCTATTGTTCAACGAGTTGGTTCATTAATGCGGAGATGGCGTCAGAGATACATTATAATGTGACTTGTTGCCCTGCTTTTCCACCCTTGTTGAAAGAACGTAGGTTTATATGATGATCTTTCCATATATGTACATGTATGTATGTATGTATGTATGTATGTATATTTGTTTCCCACTTTCCAGATTTCGAACTAGTTGGCTTTTATGAAAGCCGTTAATAAAATTATGCCTCTGAAGGTCACTCTTCAATTTACTGTGATCAGTGATAATAACACTGAGAACGCGAGCTTACGAAGTGGGAGCTACAATAGTGCCATCTGATTTAGGGCCATAGAATTATGATATTTTGTAAAACGTCTATGAAAAATAAATAACTTTCTCAAGCATTTATTGTAGAATGTAAAGAACGACGTGGAGGCAGTGATACGATTTCCTTTAGCTTTTAAGTTGATGTTTATAACCAATGAAAAATTAGAGTTATATATTTCGAATCTGATACAGATATATAATATGAAAATATCTACAAATTATGTATGATGTATTATGTATGATGAATTATGTATGTATGGTACAACAATTTCTAACTTGGCAAATGTGCAAAACTTTGAATTTATATCCTACATATTTAGCGTGGACATAAACTGTTCTTAGGTTAGTTGCATTAATAATAATAATAATAATAATAATAATAATAATAATAATAACGATAACGGTAATAATACATTTGGTGAACTAGAAAGCTATGCAGAAGGAAAGTGGATCTAGTGATTTCTGCTTTGAAGTCTTATGTTTTATAGGCCTACAGTTTCAAACAATTTGGATTATGCCAGCTATTAAGCTCATATAACTTTTGATCTGATCTTTCAATATTTGAACCCTCTATTAATGAGCACACTGTGTTCACGTTTATTCATTGTTCTGTTCAATCTGTCATGCATGTGTGTAGCAGAGGCTCCGTTTCGCATATTCACGATCCAATCATAACATTCGATACTGGAAGAAATATACAATTTGGTTTCAAGAAACTTTTCTATATAAACATTTTTTTCACGAAAATGACGACAGCATATGACACACTGCTGGCAGACCCATCTACTGTCAGAATAGTACTACCTTCAACCACTGCGTGAAGCGCACCATCGGCGCACTGTTTTACCATAATCTCACGCAGCATCATTACGATTTTATTTTATACACGTATGTATGTAATACGTATTTGTAGGTGTGGAGCTTTTTTTTTGAGCGGTAATTACTGTTCTTGTTTGGTCCTTAGATAAGACACACGCTGCATTGCCCTGTCTCCATTTGTTTACGTAAGGTTTGTTGGCTGCATAGAAAAAACTTGAGCACTGTTTCAACATTATCAACTCAAACACACATATTACAGGCGCTAAGCGTTGAGCGAATTAACAAAATAATTTCTGTATTAGGTCACGCAAATCCATTACGTCATTTTTTTTCAGAATAATATAATGGGAGACTGCGTCACATTTTGTAGTAGAACATACGTAGGCCTGTATAATAAGAATAAGAAATATGAAATATTTTAGGTAGGGAGTCACTTAAATTGTGGGGAAAAATGACTTTTTTTTTCAAGTCTGTTCCTTAAAATAAAGAGTCTGGAATTTAAGAAGTATAAGTTCATGTCTATCTGTAAAGTGCATCAGGATTACAGACATAAATTTTAAAATTTGCTGTGCAGCTAATCTCTTTAATGTTACTTTTATATCCTTCTTTCCCCAACCCAGAATCGATTTATTAAACATTATGCAAATAATATTGAAATTTCTCTCGAAGTCTTAAACATAACTGCATTAATTTTTTGGACATATTAATTGTATTTCTAATAGGCCTATTTTCTCCCATCAGGTTTTGATACAATATTTATTGTCCCCTAAATTACTTCCATAACCTTATGGGAGTTTCAATATTTCTTTTAAAAGTAGCAGATTAAAATCAAAATCTTTCAAATTATAAAAAGCTGACAATATGCTTGGCTATGGCAACCAACATGTCATCAGTGGAGCCTCCATTGGCGTTCCTATGAACTCATTACAAAAGCTGTAACTTACGTGGATAGAAAGTTACATTAATTACTTAGATATAGAGAGGGATATATCAAAGTTTCCTTCCAGGAGGAAATAATACTATCCCGACAGCCACATGTCATTGGTAATCTTTGTAGTCAGAGATAAGTTAAGAATGTGAAAGCTCATCAAACAGAAATTAAATATGAAAAATGTCAACTGGCCGAATTCGTCGGTTGAAGTGAGTCAAGTTGATCACATCCCAAAATACATCAATATTAACATTCACCTGTTAGTAAAATTATATTTTACCTTTTTAAAAACCATAAACACAACTTCCTGTGGTGTCAGACATCACCATGAGAACCTCGAATTTCCCGTTATTAACTTTTGGTTTCCATAAAATGCAGGAAATTTCTTGACTAGCTGAAAGATATGGTATTTTCAAGGAGGATGATGCTCCATGAAGTTAAGTCAGAAACACTTGGAGACCAGTAGCATGTGTGTCTCTATGAAATCAAAATTTCAGTCCCTCTCTCAACAGATTTTAAGATCAACCACTTCAGACAAACGAACCAGAAAGTTTTACTGCTAAGGCACAGTCTGTGGTACTCGTTTCTGCAAGAAAATCGTTTGATTCTCTAGCCAAAACAGCTAATCACCAACTTAATGACTGATGTTCAGTTTTCAGGGTTTCTTTATTTACCATTTTTCACACAATTAACATAATTATTACGTTGGTATCTCACAGCACTGCTCGTATTTTACGTTCCGTCCGAGTCAGGCGAGAAGGTGACCTTAGGCATCAGTGCTCTGTTGTCTATGACAGTATTCCTCATGACCATAAGAGAGAGCCTTCCACCAACAGAGAAGACTCCTTTAATTGGTGAGTTTAACGAATACATTTCTAGAGAGTTCTTGCAGTGGTGTACTACATTTGGATTCACGAACTTTCTGGACTCTGTCCATGATCTACTATTCTAAACAAGAACATGACGTTTCAGGAGCCTAACTCACTCCCATATTCAGGAGGATGAGGTACTCTTCAGTTGGGTCTGTTACAATAAGCTAATCTAAATCATCTAAGATTATCCATTGACTGAAATATCTCTCTCTAATTGGTCCAACTCAGTAGATGCCTCTCACCTCAGGATTAGAGCAGATCAAGCTGCCAAAACGTTGTATTCTATTTTAAAACAATGAATCATAAATACAATTCAGAAAGCTGGTAATATTAACAAATTAGCACTTCAGAGGATTCAGTTTTTTCTCTAAAATTTCAGATTAGTAACAATATTTAAAATACAAACCAAAATGCACTGCTTCATTTTTTGTGTTCCTGTCTATATATTACTAATAACATCAAAATGAAGGAGAATGAAATTGGTAAGCTATGTTGCACATGTGCATATAGAAGTAATACATATAAATCTTTTTTTGAAAAAACTGGAATGGATAAAGCCACATGAGAGACCTAAGCATAGATGGACAGATATTATTAAGATGGATCTTAAGGAAGTAGGGTACTATAGTACTGACTGCCCTCAACTGGCTTAGGATGGGATCCAGTGATGGATGTTTGAGCATGGTAATTAATAAATTGGTTAGAATTTTTATAAGTAATTAGAGGATATTATTTTTTTTGATAAACCTGATAATAATAGCATTGAAAATTAATGTTCCTAAGTTTTAATATGGCTTATTGTTATTTGTCAGGTCTCTATTATGGAGTTAGCATTTGCCTGGTAACATTTGCAACAGGCTTGTCAGTTGTGACACTCAATGTATACCATCGTGGAGTGAGGGGAACTGGTGTGCCCAGAATTGTCAAGACCCTCATTCTTGGCAAGTTGGCCAGGCTTGTTTTCTTCCAGTTTGAACCACGAGACAAACATGGACCTTCAATGCAACATGTAAGTTTACTACAATGTACGGCATAACTTATTTCACAGCTCACAGCTATCACTAGACAGTATTGGAATTTCAGTTCCAGAACTGCTGAAATTCAGGCAGGCACTCTTGTATATGGGGTAAAGTAATTTTCTGTGTAGTATGTTTTAATATTTTCTCCAGTTTTCTGTCATTTCTTAACTAAGATGTTTGCAGAGTGTTTGAAATATCAGATGTTGTCCTACCTCATGACTACAGGATGTGTAGTTGGCTGAGGCACTATGCTACAAGCCAGAAGGTTGTGGGTTTGAGTCCTGATGAGGTGTATTTTTTTCAATTTACCTAATTCTTCCAGTTGTACTATGGCCCTAGGGTCGACTCAGCCTCTAACAGAAATGAGTACCAATATCTTTCTGGAGAGTAAAGAGTGGCCAGTGTGTAAAGCTGACAGTCTTACCACCATCTGTGAGCCTGTTGTCTAGAGAAAATGTGGGAGATTCAACATCTCAGAACCCTATGGGTCTTCATGGCCTTTTACAGGAATAGCTTCACCTTTACCTTTTACCTCCTGAGACATATATACATACATGTTTCACACAGTATATATAAAAAAAACCTCATGACTGACCAAATATGACATGAATACCTACACTATTTCATTAATTATTAACAAACTAAAATTATATACAGAGAGAAACTACAAGACATTATAAATCAGTAAATAAAATACTTAGGGTCTTATTTCTGAGCATAAGTTTCACTAGTATAGATCCATTTCTTCAAAAGAGTTGGGATATAAAACCACTTAGTAAAGAGCAACTCCACTGTCTACCAGACTGTATGGTATCACTTACCAGAAGATAATAATCCTCAAAGTCACTGCTGAGAGAACCTCAGATCTTTGAAAGCTGTCTGATGTAACCTCAAAATCTGCACAATCACCATTAATGAATTGCTAACACAAAGAAAGTTTTATATATTTGTGAATTTATTTATGATGTATTTCCATACAAAATTTTATTAAGTATAACTATAACTGCTATTTTCTTCCTACTGTCAAATAAAACGTAGATATTATGCAGCTGTCAAATCATATTGCGTTCTATAAAAATATTACTTCAACAAAAGTTTAATATTTCTTGAAGATCTGTTTCTGCACCAAATTTGAGGACCCTTCATCATGTGAAATTATGATTCTTCCATCCCAGAAGATTGTATGGCCACCAGGTTGGCAATATTGATGTTAGGACATTAGTAAATTCAAAGGTGGCGGTAGCTTTCAGCAGTGTGATATGCCAAAGGTCATGAAAATTTCTCCATTCATCCGGAGATTAAGTTTGATACTGGAGAACGAACGGAGAAACAGACTTCATGGTACTATAAATCAATCTTTCCTTCTGATATAAGAAACATATGCCAAAATTTCCTCTGACAAAATAGGTGTTAACCATGATTAACACATAAATATCCCTGATGTGGAGAATGTGCTGCAACAGGACATCAATCCACGAACAGGCACACGGCTAGACTGTCCACGTCCGCCAGATAACAAGTGGACAACAGAGAGTGAAGTGGATTATCTGGATCCTCAGCAGATGTCTCCTCGTTTCCTGCCTCGTCGTAGCCGCACGGATTCAACACCAGGTACAGTTTTACAGGCTGTTGTTTAGTTTCACTGAAGTCAACCTGTACTAAATTGTTATTATTTAGTTACATATCTGCACTATTAGAGGGCTGAATACAAACATAATTTGGGTCATGTGATTTGAGGTTCTCATGATGGTGACTATGAAGTTTACTTACTATCTTCTGGGATGTATGCCATGTAGACATTTATTTTTCAAACGAACATTAGTTCAGTTATTGGGAGGTGGAAGGCCAAACAAGATCTCTGAGTGAAAAGGTTGGAAACATCTGAGGTTTTTGGCCTGTTTTGCTAGAGATAAATAACTGGCTATGATCATGGGTGGTATAGGAAAATATAGCGTTTTCTTCATGTTTATGGATCAGAAGTAAACATAAACAATGAATAAGGACAAGTGACATGTCTATTTGCAGTCACAGAGCGTCTGAAACTATCACCCCATAGGAATTACAAAGCCAAATTAATATCACTTTCTGGCCATTGTATGTTGGTGTGTGCTCCATATACATCCTGAATATAATGTAGTGTTAGTCTTTCTTCATCCCCTGTACAAGCCATTGGTCATGCAAGAAACACATCATATTGATTTTGAAATTATGGGAACATGTGAGGTAAACATTTGCATGTTCTTGGACTTTGAAAAAACTGAAATCACACATTGTGAAGGATACTGACTGGGTCTCTGGGCTGCCTTTGCAAACCTTTTGGCCTTCCTTCTTATAATTGCATCAAGCTTTCTCAGGGTGTTCAATTTTTGCACATGTGAACACCATTTCTGCCTTAATAACAGTTTCAATACCTTTGACAATGGGAAGAGGAAGACTTTTTTCAGATTCTGTTTTACAAAAACATAAGCATACAGAGTCTCAAAGAAGGGAATGAAAATCAGCAAGCAGCATTTTAATAATACACTTTAGGTACAAGTTTGAGGGTTTAACATTGATGATTGTTCAGAATGTGGTATTCTTGATTCTGATATTGCATAGCCTTGTAGGTGGATACCAACGTTATAGAGGGACATGCTTACTCCATATTCAGAGTTGAAGAGTGACACACATACTCTTTTCTTCAATCAACACTCTTTCACCCTGAAGATGGGTGTGGCAGGATGTTCAGAAACTTTGGTACTGTGCCTATTTACCAAACAGCGTGGACTTACATCCTGGAAGACTGTAATCTCAATGCTCATCTCTGTGAGAACTTTAAATTAAGTTGGTTAATCATGAATTGCATACTGTAGGGTATTGTCCTTTGCAGACAGTTTTGAGGCACAGTTTCTGCGTGTACTGAACAAGGTGAACCATACAATTGAGCACAATGAACTGCGTCTTGCGGAACAGGAACGTCGTGATGTGGCAGAGATAGAGTGGAAGCAGGTTGCCCTAGTTTGTGACAGGTTCTTGCTGTGGGCGTTTCTCCTGACAACTGCCATAACGACAACAGTTATCCTTTGTGGCTCACCATATGGACCCTGATGTTTTAGCATTGTTATGTGGTGAAGAATCCGAATGAACCATTTTTTGTATGATTATCTAATACAATTGTCATCTTGGTATGATTATATAATATAATTGTCACATTGGGTTAAAAGGAAAAGATGTTTCAGGAATTCATCTTGCATATTGACATATTCAAAGAACCATTACAGTTCTTGTACTGATATAAAGAGAAGAGATCTGGTAAGGTAATCTTGGTATAATCACACAACAATTGCCAGGCTAGAAGTGACACTTTCAAAATTTCAATTAGCTGATATCCAGTGCACCAGCATGAGTTGGCCATCATGTTGGACAGGAGAGTGTGACTTTTGGATGCCAAGCCATGACAAGTTGCCTTCACTCTCTGACAGTAAATGGGCTAAAAATGTATTGTATACCATCATGGCTAGTGGCAATGAAATTGTATGGACTGGCCACATGAATATTCTGTGTGTCTGTTACTTTATGACAGTGTCAGTGACTAGACTATATAGTGTCGAATGGTATGATGATAGATGAGTTGCAGAGGATTTAAAAAGAAGCAGTTGTGACATAATGGAGATACCACCCTGTGACTCAGGCTGGGGGACTGATGAAAACCATGAAAAACCTGTCAGGATAGATGGTGTCTCATCTGAGATTCCAACTGAGCACCTCCAAAATATATGTCAAGATTTTTACTGCTATGGCAACTAGTTTGGGGGCTACATTCAGATGAAAGGGACTGAAAGAGAGTGCTCCTTCTGGATTGAACGCATATTCTGAGGTATAACATTTAGAGACAGTGTTAAGAGTCAGAGCAATAACCAGAAGCCAAACAGAGGCAAACTGTAGGCAAACTATTCAGCTTGTAAGCCTTCTGGGACACCCTTATGGAATGTCACAAACAATGCATTACATTTTATGACCATCTAAAACTGTTTATGAACCTTGAGGCCACTGTTTTAGATTTTAAAAACAAAAAACTTGATTGCAGGATATGTTATGCAGCTCGAATCATGAACTGAATTCTGGATTATATTATTCTGTTGTTGAGGTTTTGGGGTTATGGTAACATGTTCACAAGCATACCTACGCAGGAAAACATACATTGGAGTGGCACATAAGACTGATTTCAAATCATTGTGTGATTTAATTTTAAATTTCCTAACTTACTTTATAACATTAATCTGTACAAAAAGCAGTAATAACTTGCCTGAAACATTAGTTAACATTCCTAGAAAATGTAACTGTAAGGTAAACTACTTTCAGAGAACTCAAAAAATGAAGAATAAGATGCACTGATATGTTGGGTTTTTGGACTTTATCCATCGTCCTGGTTTTTAAGATAACCATCATCAGAATCCTATAGTAACTACAAGAATAAGATGGTTTGATGGGAAATTGGCCAACACTTTTCATGGGAGAAAATTTACCAAAAATGACTCGGCTCTACACGGCATAAAAGTTCAAAACTTTCTCCATCATGTATCTCTTCCTCTGATGAGGACATGTTCCACCATGTACCCCTTTCATCTTTAAATCAATGAGTTTTGTATTTGTATTTATTTTAAGTTCAAGAGACCCAAAGATGGATATAGAACATGTCATAAAATAATATAGAGCATAGAATACATACATAGTTATTACACAACTAGACAGTACAATGAATACAATAATAATAAAAGTTATCTATTTAGATATATAGAAATATACATGTCTATTTCAGCTTTAAAGGTAATCTATTATTCCTATTATTCACTCCTTAATGAGCTATGGTATCATCTTTTGGGGAAATTCATCTCATAGTTCTACTATTTTTCTTCTCCAAAAAAAGGCAATCAGAGCAATGTTGGGATATGGCAATAGAGTTTCGTGTAGAAACATATTTAAAGAATTAAATATTTTATCATTTGCATCACAATATATATTTTCGTTTTTAGTATTTATATTGCAAAATAAAGTTCTATTTCCATCAAACATTGATTCTCATACTATTGATACTTGACAAAGACAAGATTTGTATCTACCTCAAGCTAATTTAACTATTTATCAAAAAGGAGTTTATTATGCGGGTAGAAAAATATTCAATAAATTGCTCATAGAGATGAAGAACACATCTAATAATGTTAAAAAGTTTGAGGTTGTATTAAGGCATTTCTTGAATACTGTATTGTATTTTATTTCATCCGTTTTGCTATGTAGTAGCACTTGGACATGTCATTCAGTAATACAGGTTAACAAAATAAATCTACAAAGTTACAAGCATATTACCAACATTTGTTACAAACATAAGCAATATATAAATACAACATTGCAAAAAATATACAAACTACTATATACAGTTCATGAATGGCTATGACATCCAATCATAAGTACTTGCACCATCAACTTTTTTATTAAACCTAACAAATTCATTTATCATATAAAAAGAATGTTTCAATAAAAATGATTTTAAGTCTTTTTTAAAAGCTGAAAAACCCACCAAGATTTTTATTTTGTTTGGCACCTTACTATACAGTTCTATCCCCAAATACTGAAATAGACATATAATATTTCATATTTCTAACAAATACAGAAAACTTTTGTGCTAATTTCATGAGTTCCTCCATTTTTTCGCTTCATTTCAAGATGTATTACATGTGTTTTATGTTGTGAAGGATACTTGCTGGAATTAAAGCAAACAAGAGTGGGAAATTGTATCACTGGGGTACACATATTTGCTATTCTGTGTACCACATTGGCCTTGACATTCACTTATTACAGATAAAAATCAATTGTCATAAACCAAACCTTACCACAGATACCACACTGTGCAATCAGAAATTATTTTCCCACATATTACTGTAGGGTTGACTGCATAGTGACCCACAAGTAACATGTGACCTGCAAGTTAAATTTGTATAAGAAGTTAAGCAGGAGGCAAACAGTTTGAATCTTGCATGGGATGACTATCCTGACTGAGGCTTTTCATGGTTTTCTCGGTCTCTCAACCACGATAATATCTTAACTTAGGCCACAATCACTTCAACTCACATTATTTGTCCTTCATTATTCACTGTCATCTAATAATATTATACTATGTAGTCTGACCTAACAACAGTGTTGTTAACTAAACAGCAAATCAAATAAAACAATAATATTGATGGCAGTGAATGATTTGTACAGGACAGTTTATTCCTTATAACATACCACACATACCGACAACAAAACATGAATATTTTAGGTTATGGCTGGTCCATATGAAGATTCTGCAACACAAACCTTTGCGAGTGTAAAGAAATTCATCATTGACAAAGGAATTAAGTGATTTTGTTGATAGAACACTAGATATAATGCAGCACTTTTTTTCTTTTTGTTGTTCTTTATGTTAAGCAGTGAATTTGATATCATTGACAATATTAATATTTGTCACTGTTCATTCAGACACTCCAAATTCTTTGTCCAGCAAACGTGAGTACAAATACTGATAATATAAAAATCGGTGGACAGTGTAAATATTGAAAGGGATAATCCATCGATTCTGCAAAGAAACAAAAACTTTTTATCAGTTGCTTTAGTTGGAAGTCTGTTGATATTTCCAAGGACAGAGTACAATAGGAAACTGCAAAGCAATGAATCAGGCCTATATCTACAATAAGAGAATTAATATCGTTTTATTATTTTTATATGTTTTAACAATTTAAAGTAATCTAACAAGGTTTCTGATATAATCATATAAGATAAAATAACACTACTACGTAAGTTAATGGAAGTAGCATTTTCCTTAATTTCAAGCTAATAATGTTGATAACATGTATGAAAAGATCTGTAGTCTTGGTAATAAGAATTCTGAATTTTGTTCTGACCCAGTTATAAATGCATCATTTAAGACCTGATTATGAAAATTTAACTAATAATAAAATAAATCACCCGGGGGGGGGGGGGGATGTGGGAACTGCCCACATATCTATAATACTTGCGTTATGTATCTGAATGGTTATCCAGCAACAAAAATATTTACTATGAACCCTGCCCTTGATTCTTCATCAGTACTGCAGTCTTCTAGGGTCTGATACTGTGTAGTGTGATAGATGATTACCGAATTTTGGAGGAGTCTGCTGCTTCCAAATTCTTCTACCCAGACTGCAGATGTCTGTGAGAACCTTAAACATCATTTATTGCCATTTCGTTCCCTTTGCCATGTAAAATGGGATAAATAAGAAGTGTGATTTAAGGTTTCATAGTGGTGACCAAGAAGGGTACTGTCTCCTGGGATGTCACATCATAGTCTGGTAGAACATTAGTATTGTTTCAGAGGGATATGCTCCTCAATCTCCAGGGTACATTCATCTGCCCTGAAGAGTATACATTGCATCCCAGAAGGCAGTGATCTAAATAAGATCAATTGACTATAATGTATTATGTAAAATATAAGATGTCAATTTTTATGGATAGCATATTGTTAAGTGTGGGTGCCAGGAGGGGCATGGGCAGCCAGGTATCTGCCCCATCCCATACATTTTTGGAGAAAATTAAAATATGAGGAAGAAGGAAATATACAAGATATTAGGGCCAAACATTAAAAGCACTAAAAAAATTATTCTTCTGCCTTGAATACTCTATGGTGATCAGTAAAAATGGCCTAAACCTTTAGGTTTATAAGAAAATATTCTGGCTGCCCTCTTTGGAAAATATCCTGGGAGCACTCATGTTATTAGCTAACATAAGATAAATTAAAATGTTTTAAAAGTAAAATGACTGTTTATTGTTGGAAGTTGTTACTGAAAATATGGTCTACGCATTATAATTTGGCTGTAGGTGGTATCAAATGAAGAGGAAAACATAGCGTCAAGGTGACCTAATGTATCTATCAATATTTTTTTTATAAATAAAATTACACAAAGGTGAATTGTTATCCTTAATGTTATATTTTAGCATCCTGTTGCACTGATTTATGTCCATGATTTATTCTGTCTTACAGTGCATACATTTATTCACCTTACTCTTCTCTTGCACTACATGTTTCGGCACTAAAGTGCCATCTTCAGGTGCTTTTCGATGTACGTTGAACTACTGCATTGCATGCCCTGTTGTCTTTTAACTAAAATATATATTCGTCATATATATTGCTAAATTTTAAATATTAAAAATGTTAAAACTGTTCAGGATTTGTCATCCTTATGTCATATTTCAGTACGCGAGTCACACCTATCTTCTTCTGTCAGAGTATTCTTCCTACTTTCATGTGTATTGTGCTTTGTGTTGTGTCTTACTCCTGTGACTGTGTGTGTTATACTGCTGGGCCTGCTGGGTATGTGTGTGCACATACCCAGCCAAATACTGTATCTAAGTGTTTGTTGGTTCCCTTTTGCAGTCAGAGTAATTCCTTACTCATGGGTATTACCAAATAAGGGTACCCTGACTGCAGGGTTCCAGACAAATTGCCGGTAGTGTGTCCTGGGATACAAATCCACCAGGTACTTTAATTTTCATATACCAGTTATGAGTATTTTACTTTTCCTGCATGATGTTTTTTATTTTCCATGTTTCTACAATATGTCAAATAGTTTCATACTAAATCTATCGTCAAATGGGAGGAGGATAGAATTTGCTCAGGATTGCGTATAATAGCAGGTTTTGGTACTAATGGTGTTGGAATCTTTGGTTCTATTACCAGTTAAAGTAGTGGTTGGGGAAACTTCACTGGTCTCAAGTATTCCAGATGTTCTGTAGAGCTGTTCAACAGTTTCATTTCATAATATTTAATTTTCCCATATATTTCACCTTCCAATAACATCATTAAAACAGTACAACTGTACTCAGACATAATTTTATTAACTTTGATAAGACTTCAGTATATATATATCCCACAACTAATGGAATGACTGATAATCAATACTATTAAAATATTCATCTCACAAATACATGTATCAATACTTGGCAAAATATTCCTTTAAATTTTAAATTTTAGAAAATGCTGTATAGTACACCTGTATGCACTGGAAGAATATTTTCTAATTAATATTAAAACGTACATAGATTTCAGGTTTTTTTTTTTGCCATCACACAACACGTTGATTCTGTTATATATAATAAGCAACTGAATTGAATATATCAATAGATCAATCAGTTTATTATATTAAACAGAAGAACACAATCAATTCATAATTTATTTATATCCATAAACTATTAAACAAGTACAATTGGACACTATGTGTTGAGTGACAGCATAAAACCCCTAAATTAAAACAATCACTTAAAAAACCTTAAGTACCAATATTCTTAACATTTTAAGATGCCTTTACTGTCAGTAAAATGATGAAACTGATCTTGTAGCTGCCAATTCTGCTATGCGGTACTACTTGTGCTAGTAATAGTCTGGTACAGGAGCACAAGCAATCTTCACAAAGTCCTGATAATGCACCTGTCCCCCAGGTGAAACGTTTGCCTCACGAAATATCTGTTCAACTGAAGAAAAATTAAAACAAAATATGTAAATTTAATTCGGAGCCATGAAAGGAAAATATAAAAGTAAAATTAGAGCACAAATGTTTACATAAAATTGTATCAATACGGAACCACCTGCACAGGATATTTCATCTACAAAGGATACAAGAGTAGGAACAAATCACAATTTTTATTACACAAAAATATGAAAGATTTTATTAAATATATATAAAGAAAGTAAATGTTAATATTGCAGCAACTAATCTTTATGTAACATACAACTGAGACACAGCTATTTCTGAACTATTCTGTGTTCTCACAGAACTCTAAAATTCCTCCAACAGCAGCCATCCGAACAGTGTTCTGATTTAAGATGCTTTTGAAGCAGCAAGTATTTACTTGTAACCTTAATTAAAATATGTAAAAAGACAAAAGAAAAAAGTTCTACTGGTCTGTTGTGCATGCATGTTTCTGGGCCCGTGACGTTAACCAGTCATCATCTGTCTCAATATCAATGAAGATCTCTAGTTTTCTTGGCACTCACCTTCCTTCGCACTGAGCTGTTCTCCCCAGTGCAGCAACATGTGTCGCAACTGACGAGCAGGTATAGTACCTTTTTTAGCTGGATCTGCTGCCTTGAAAGCGTCTATCACTTCACGAGGCAAATCTTCTGCTCGGCTATGGATATGCATTACATCCAAGAAGTCTGCAAAGGACATTTTTCCACCTGAAGAAAGTGAAATTTGTATCCTTCATTATATGCTAAGTAAACTACCATAGTATATGTTCAGATGCTGATAAGAAACCATGTATAATGTACATACACAGAAGAACACCCAAAATTCATGCAATCTGTCTACTGTCAAACTTATCTTATAGAAAAACACTTAATATTTATTCAAGTATAGATATGTGGCAACACTGTAACATGGAAAAGATATCATGTTTGCTGCTAGATCTTGAGCTATTAAGAAAGCTGTGACAATTGTTTCTGATGATCCAAAGTGCAAACATAAACTGTTCATAAGACAAACGCATATTTATTGTTGAATGTTACATTATGTCTAGATAAAACGTGGATTGACAGAATTCAGTGTGGTAAGCTTTCCAATCTAAAAAAAAAGTGAACAATATGCTATCTCAATAACTGTTACTACAAAACAGGTAAATTCAAAGACAAATGACCCTATCTCTTTCAATTCTAGGAAAAGAAATATTGAAGTTCAGCTGCATTCATTAGTCATGAAAATCGATTATAAACCTGTCAAGAAGCTGAATTACACTACTAAAGTACATAGAGGGAAGTTCAAAAGTGTATTCACAGAATTCATTAACTTAAATCGACAAAGTAAAAATGTACATAAATAAATCTGAACAAAAATCCAATCTCAATCATGGGCAAAGAAAAAAATGCTTGCTACCATTCAGTCCAGAACCTTTTGTCTTCTTGTCTGCTGTCCAAAAACATAAAAATTAGAATATACAAAGCTATAATTTTGCCTGCGGTTCTGTATAGGTGTGAAACTTGGTCTCTGACATTGAGGGAGGTTCATAGACTGAGGATGTTTAAGAACAGGGTGTTTAGAATATTTGGACCAAAGAGAGATGAAGTGACAGGAGGTTGGACAAAACTGCATAATGAGGAGCTTCATAACTTTTACTCTTCTCCAAGTATAATTAGAATGATCAAGTCGAGGAGGATGAGGTGGGTAGGTCACAGAGCACAAATTGGGGAGATGAGGAATGCATTTATTATAATTTGGCATACTATTTCTGTATTATTATATTCTTATTACTATTTAGTATTAGTATTAATATTAATCTTTGACTTGTCCCATATCATGTATAATGATTCATGGATGAAATAAAATTGAATTGAATTGAATATAGAATATTGGTGGGAAAGCCAGAAGGAAAGCGACCACAGGGAAGACCAAGGTGTAGGTGGTTGAACAATATTAGAATGGATCTTAGAGAGATAGGATGAGATGGTATTGATTGGATAGATCTGGCTCAGGATAGGGACCAGTGGAGGGCTCTTGTGAACACGGTAATGAACCTTCGGTTTCCACAAAATGCTGGGAAATTCTTGAGTAGCTGCTGAATTGGCGGCTTCTCCAGAAGGGCTCAGCTCCATGAGTAAGTAAGTTAATTTTAGTGATGATGGAATATAATGGCTGACTTTTTTGGACTTTATCCATCATTCTATTTTTATTTAAAACAATATTTTGGAGACTAGACTGTCTCCATCATCAGGTAAAACGCCTGTAAATAGGAAATGTGCATAACATGAATTTTAACATGAATTTCCTATATTTCATCTGTGAAATTAATGAAAAGGTTGGCCATGGCTTCATTCTCATGGAAACACCAGTGCGCTTTTGTAAATGAAGCAAGACAGGATAAGACACTCTCAAAGAACACATCTGGGTCTCTGTGTAAATTCTCCATTATTTTTATTTGATTTTAACCAAAATTAAACTTCTGTCAACAGATTTTAATAAAATTTTAGTAAAATTCCCAAATATAAACTGTCACAAAAAACTATCAGTGGGAGCTGAGTTCCTTCATACAAATGAACCGATGGGCAGACAGACAAGCTGAATCTAACAGATGCTTCTCACAGTTCCTGTGAATGTGCCTAAAACAGAGTACAATGAACTATCACGTGGCAGAGTCATCCACAACTAATTTGTATTCAGCTGGTCAAAAATGATCAACTTTTACATGACCTCAAAACACATGACTATTCACAAGACTCACCATTGAACCCTAACCTAATATTAAAATTTATACTGATAAATGGTTTGTGATTCCAGGAGTGGGTCTAATGTTAGCCTTTACACACTAGCACAGGTTTTTGTAAACAATGGTGCACTTGCCTTTATCTTTAAGATATTTTTTCAGTTCCTGAATTGTAGGGCTCATTCCCAGTGATCTCATTATGATAGTCAACTCGTCCAAAGTTCGAATCTGGCCACTTCGGGCAAAAAGGTAAAAACATTCTCGAAACTCTGTTGAAAAATAAAATACTGTAACACAATTGTATAATAATACAGTCAAGGAGTTATAAAAAGGCCAGAGATGGCTAATGATAGTCAGTAAGATACACTGCCTTAACGTAACTTTACAATTTTTAACTCACCGTCGATATCCTGTTCTCTAAAATAGCGTGCCTGAAACATAATAAAATAACATCATACGTTTAACCTTCACCGCAATTCATATATAACAGTGTTATGCATAAAATATTACATTCATTACAATACCATTTATATGTGTGTTTTTCGATTGTCTAATTAAGTGCAGACAGCCAGCATTTGTCACAACTCCACAAACTCCGTACGTCAACCTGTTTACCCTGATTACTCTCACGAACTCACAAACTCACGAACCTCACGAACCACATATCTTAAATCAGCAGATGATAACGTTCGACCATAGTACCGATTGAGCTACCGTGTCCACCAAAATTAGTTGTGGTTACGTGAATGCGATTTAAAGATGACACTGCCAACGAATAGGGTGGAATTGTATGTCTGTGTGCAGGTAAAGCGCGAACTACAGCTGGTATGAAAAATATGTTTTGTTGACTACATTGGAATTCTTCGTTAACGATGTACTCGCTGTTAGTATATTTTGATCTACTTTTTACGTAATAAACTACAATTTGGCCACGTTACACCTAAGTATTATAAACGAAACGGATAACTATGATACGCTTGGAACATAATATTTTCATACAGTAGTACATGTGTGGTGGGATGTGTGGTAGGATGGTAGGATGTGTTTTTGTTTATGATTCTATTTGTGTACAAAGATCGAGAATTGTGATGTGAATGTACGGTTCTGGTCAAATGGTTACAACGAAAATGTAAGGTTCAGAGCCCTTTGAACTTTCGATTTATATCGGTGTTCAAATTATGAACCTAATTAATTGTTGTAACAAGTATTATTCTCTTTAATCGAACTACAGTTGAAGTCGGAATTGTGGATCAGACTGTCAGGCAGTTCCGTCTCCATATAATTATCTATTAGCCTAATCGATCATCCCCGTTATGAACGTTATGAACCTTTCATTCAGAGTCTATTGGACTGGGTATATAAGGAAGTACAGTGGTGAAATAACCCCTCATTCTCATTCATTGCAACTGTCGGCAAAGTAAAGGTACTGAGTGCTCGCATAGACAACCCTATCAGGATTGCGATCAAGAAAAGAGGTATGTTTTGCAAGTATGGAAATTAACATGTTCGAGCCACATAGATGACTTGCAGTTTGTCTGATAGTTAATGAAAGACCTCGCATGTGATATGGAAGAAACGCAGCAGTTAATGAAAGACCTCGCATGTGATATGGAAGAAACGCAGCAGCTTATACTTAAGCGTATTTCTTGCTGAAGCCAGCCCTACGTCCGTTTCTTTTCATTTTATGCGTTGTAAGACTATAAGTGTACTGAGGTGTTTTTAGAGGCTCTGTTAGCAGTATTGAATTAGGATTATTAATATAATAAAAGCACGTACAAAAAATTGTAGCATTTATAAAATTGGCTGTTTTGCTGCATTGAAGAGTACCTGCATGAAATGACTAATTCATTTGTGTGGACAAAATCTTGATTGTGATTGCAAGTATTATTTAATGAATTTAGAATTATGTTATATGAGAGACACATGTAAGTTTTAAAACTTTTATAATTTCTTCTAAATGGTGTTTGGAAGCTTATGGTCCATTTGTAGAAATTTGCCAAGAAGGTTTATGCATGGATACTCAAACTACCAGTGCTGTGTTCACTTCAGGAACATTTATAGAAATTTTTTACCATAGATTACAAGTTTTTTTTTCTTTTTGAGGTGAATGTTTATTGAAATTTTGGGAATGAAAGGGAAATGTTTAATTCTCACCAATGGGAATATTGCAGGTAGGACTAGTTTCCCCTTAATATGACAGAACGAGTAAAGAAAACTTTGGGCACACTTAACATCTGCTGTCCTTCCACCAACTTTGCAGTATACAGAAGAGTGAAATTAATGGAATAGTTCTGTCTTCTGGGAAGTAACACTATGTAGTCCATTGAAAGTCAACCGACATTTCAGACAAACATGTCACCTCCATCTTCATGGTCAAAAAATAAGCCAAGCAAGCACAGATGCATCATGCTGGTTTCTTGCTTGGCTTATTCTGTGAGATCCTCATTTCATTCATTTATTCACCTTCCATAAAACCTGTCGAGAATAAATTCTCATGTGGGATCCTACATAGTGGAATTAATTGTTGTATATATGAAAGTTGTGTGAGTGTTAATAGTTCATTTTTCCAATAAACATATGAATATTGGAGTATCTGAAAGACTGACTAATTATTACAAATTGCAGATATGCTGAGTAAACTTAATATAGTTAGAATATTAATAGTGGAACTTATGCATAGAAGTGGATCATCAATCCATAAATATTGTGATCTAGGAAAAATATAATTTTCCTGTCTCTTTCCAATTTTCTGCAGCAGACCTAACAGAGAACAGCCAAAGATAACTATGAAATTAACTTCTTACTCTTGCCAATGCATGCAGTAGCCAAGGCTGTTGAAGTCAAATATATTATGTAATATTCTCTATACTCTTGCCAGTATTCTCCTTGGCCCTGTTTGTGATTGCAAATAAAACTTGGTTCAGACAAAATTCTGAGATTCATAGTTTCAATACTAGGAATTATTCCAATTTTTTCCAACAAACGACTCATCTAACAATGTTTCATAAAAGTCCTGCTTATGCAGGTGTCAAGATTTATAATCATCTTCCAGATAATATTAAAGTATTGGCATGTGACATTAAAAGTTTTAAGAGAACATTAAAAAAGTATTTATATGAGCATTCTTTTTTTTACTGTTGATGAGTTTCTTAAGTATAAAACTAGTTAACCACCTAGACAGCATAAAATCGTTGTTATATTTTATGGTCATTTATTATCTTTTTCTTGTTCTATGACTGCTAATTACAAACTGGTAGTATTTTATGCTCAAGTAGTTTTGTGGTTGTACCTCTATTAATTAGCACACTTTTATAAGATGATTGAACTTTCCATGACTTGAGTGCGGTAATAGATGTGCTAATATGCTATTAAAATTCCATTTCATTTTATATATTTAATGACTTTTTATGTACAAAGTTAGATAATTTGAATTGTTTTATCTGTTTATTAATTCAAAATATTATCTATATTTATAATTTTTTAAATTGTTACCTTGTAATATTTATATTTGCTTGTTAATTTTATATTTAATTTTGACAAAATCTTTTTATGACTGCATGTTCTTTGACTTCCTCTATATGCAATGGTTCTACCAGCCTGGATTAACAGAAATGTAATAAATGAATAAATGAATGAGTGAAATGACCATAGCCCATTTCTTTTTAGCTATGTGAGTAAATTTCTTAATTTGGGCCATATGTACTCTTAAAGGGTTTAGATGCTTAATATTGTGATATTGAGATGGATGGGAATCATATTCTGGGTGAAGAATTGATATTGCTGATTGTTAGTTTATAATTCTGGCTAGCCTTGCAGTATTGATCATAGCATTTGAAGGGAAATAGCTGTTGTGTGTTCTTCTTAGAACTTCTCTTTATATAATAACTTCTATTGATACAGTCTTTACAGTGAGATGGGGAAGCACAATCAGTATAGCAACTGGCTACAGGCTGGATGACCAAGAGGTCAGAGTTCTAGTCCCGGTAGTACGGTCAAGAATTTTCACTTCTCCATGTTGTCCAGACCGGCTCTGCGGTCCACCCAACCTCCTATGCAGTGGGTACTGGGGGCTCTTTCCCGGGGTTAAAGCGGCAGGGGGGGTGAAGCTGACTACTCACCTCCAGATAGTGCCGATGTCAAGAAAATATAGATCTATACCAAACCAAATACACCACCTCAATCTACAGACCTTTCTTTATTTTTACACATAATCGCCACTTCTTTGTGCACATTTCTCCCAGCGTTCTGGGAGTTTGAAAATTCCCCTTCTGTAAAATTCCATTCCAGCCATCCGAAGACACTGACGCACTGCTTTCTCAATTGCCTCCCTTGTCTCAAAACGTTGTCCATGCAGCTGATCCCTCACAAATCCAAAAAGAAGGTAGTCGGAGGGTGCCAGATCAGGGCTATAGGAGGGCTGTGGAAGAACTTCCCACCCCATCTTTGCAATTGCTTCCAATGTGAGGCGAGCGGCGTGGGTGTGAGTGTTGTCATGCAGGATGATGTTTCGTCCCAGACATTTATCTCACAATGCATGACGGAGCTTGTGCAGCATCTGGACATAACGAGCAGCATTGATGGTTTGCCCAGATTCCAGGAATTCAGCCAGAATAAACCCCTCTGCTTCCCAGAAGACTGTGCCCATCACCTTTGCAGCTGATGGCACTGTCTGTGCCTTCTTTGTTGATGGAGAATGCAAATGGTGCCATTCCATACTCTGCCGTTTCATTTCAGGCTCAAAATGGTGAAACCAGCTTTTGTCGCCTGTCACAATACAGAGCAAAAAATCATCGCCTTCGTGTCGATATTTCTGCAGCAGGTCTGAGGTGATGGCTTTTCTCTGACCTTTGTGGTCTTCGGTCAATAACTGTGGAACCCAACGAGCACAAACTTTCTTATAGCCCAAGCTTTCAATCATCTCCTGTACTGCACTGCGCCCTATTCCAAGTTTTTGGGCTATTGTGTCCACAGTCACATGCCTGTCATCTTGAATGATCTCGTCCACTCTTTCCTTGTTGCATTCAGTTGAGGCTGTTTGAGGACAACCACTCTGAGGCTCATCTTCGATGCTGGTGTTCCCCTCTTTAAAATGTTTCACCCATCTTCGAACACTGCTTGCACCCATGCACACACTTCCATAAGCATGCTGAAGTCTTGTGAATTTCTGCAGCAGGGATTTCCTCTTTCACAAGAAATTCGATGAGAGCACGCTGGTGAAACAACATATCATTGTCGGCCATTTTATGAGGAGTGATACTGGTCACGTGATGCAAGCTATTGACGTCACAAGACACTCAAGGTTAACACAACAGCTGGTTCCACCTACCACCATACTCTCTTTCGTCTGCTGTTCCCAGGTTGCATGCAAAAAAAAAAAGTTGCTCATGACTTTCGGTACGACCTATGTACTGTGACAAATGATGGTTTTTATGCATTTTTTCTTGTGTGATTTTTATGTCTTGGAAGGGACATCTGAAGTCAGTGGCTGTAAATGTTCATGAATATGTTTCATGAGATTTTTTTAATGTACGAATTGTGATGTCAGTTTTGACATTTTACTAGTATAGGAAGGTCAGGGTAGAAGATTACGATTGGAGGAAGAACAAGAAGTCTGTCTTATAGTGTTTGCTGTTGGACCTTGTCATTCTTCTCTCCTACATCACCGAGCTTTTTCTGTATACCTTACTCTTATACCTGAAGATGTAGGAAACAAGGGCCTCCAGACTCTTACTACATAACAAACCACATAGTGCCACATCCCAGAATGCAGTGGTGTGGATTCAACTTTATTTTAAGTTGGTTATTCATAGATGCTGTCAGTATTGAGACCAACTAACTAAACTAACTTCATGTAGCTGAGCCCTTCTTGAGAAGCCCCCAACTCTGTAGCTACTCAAGAACTTCCCAGGAATTTATGGAACCCGAAGGTTCATTACCATGTTCACAGGAGCCCACCATTGGTCCCTGTTCTGAGCCAGACCAATCATGTCCATCCTATCTCTCAAAGATTCATTTTAATATTATCTGCCTGCCTACATCTTGGTCTTCGTAGTTGTCTCTTTCCTTGCGCCCTTCCCACCATTATCCTATAGGGTAAACGATAGGATGATTAATGAATATGCAGCAGTTGGTAGAATGAGAATTGGCTGGGGAAACAGAAGTACTCAGGAGAAATCCACCTCAGTACCACTTTGCCAACCGCAGATTTCACATAACCTGACCTGGGATTGAGCCCAGGCCACCATGGTGGGAAACCAGACATTAAGCACCCGAATTTTGGCACAACCTCTGAGTTCAGCTGGGTCTGTCTAATAATTATATTTCGTTTCATGAAAGCAAGGAATCTCTTGACCAGCTGAGTAGCTGTGAACCTTCTGAGGGAGACCTTGAGCAATATAGTAGTTAACCTTCATATAAAGTACTCATAATTTTTAAGTTAGATTCTTATGACAGTTGTAAACATTTGTAAATATCAGATATGAAAAGAGTCCTCTAAGCCATTCAGGCATCATAGACAGCCTAATTCCAGAACCCAACCATACAGGTTCAGGAATACCAGAAACAATTTTATTCACTGAAACAAGGTTTTTTTAATGATGATACATTCTGTCTACTGTGTGTATTAAAACAATAAAATTTCCCAGCATTTCATGGAACCTGAAGGTTCATTACCTTGTTCACAAGAGCACTCCACTGGTCCCTATCCTGAACCAGATCAATCCGATCCATACAATCCCATCCTGACACTCTAACATCCGTTTTAATATTGTCTACCCACCTATGCCTTGGTCTTCCCAGTGGTCTCCTTCCTTCTGGCTTTCCCACCAATGTCCTATATGCATTCATCATCCCCCCCATTTGTGCTACATGCCCCGCCCACCTCATCCTCTTTGACTTGATCATTCTAATTATACTTGGAGAAGAGTAAAAGTTATGAAGCTCCTCATTATGCAGTTTTCTCCAACCTCCTGTCACTTGTTAGAAAATAAAAAGTGAAACAGAAAGACCTTGGGCCATATACTTAGTTAACGTTCCTTAAAGTACACAATTTTCAAGTTACCTTCATGTGGTACTTGTAAACACTTGTAAATGACAGATATGAAAAAAGTCCACTAAGCTGTTCAGGCAACAGATGAAGATAGACATATTCCAGAAACCAGGTCCACAGGTTCAGGTGTGCCAGAAACAGTCTTATTCATTAAAATATCAGGGCTAATTTACATTTGTTTACACTAATGATACACTTTGAGTGCTGCATGTATGAGAATGTAAAAATGAAAGTGTTTGTGAAATTTCTTGAGCTGAAAACAATGGTGGAATGGTTTGTTATGCTCATGAATTTCAAAATTAACTAAAAGAAATGTGTTTATGTTTTCTTAGTTCAGATTATTAAGTGGAATAGTGATTTAGTGAATTAGGTTATTTGTGGAAAACAGGATTTTAAAATGTGTTTGGCTGTGAGAATGAAACCCTTGTGGCTGTGATACATGACCGCCTCTGTGGTCTAGTGGTCATAGTTCCTGGCTACAGATTCAGAGGTCTTGGTTTGATTCCCGGCGCTACCTACCGGGTTTTTTTGATAAGTACTGGGTCTGGAACGATGTCCACTCTGCCTCTTGAGGATAATTGAGGAGCTGTTTCAAGGAAATAGCGGCTCTGGTCTAGAGAACTGAAATTAATGGCCAGGGGGATCCGTTGCGCTGATCACGTGACGCCCTTATCCGCTAAAGTTGGCACTGACTTCGCCGACAAGCGGCGGCCACTTGGTCAGTATCGTTAACTTGCTGACTAAAGCCACAGAGTTTATTTTTTGTTTGTGGCTGTGATACATTTAATAATATTGGTCTCCATTTTATTTATAGTTTATTTGTTGATGCTGTCAGTAGCCCAGACAACACAGAATTGATTAGTGGATGATAAATTGGAAAGTATGTGGAAGGAAGTGGTCAGGTCCTAATTTGAGGAACTGTTCTGGCATTTTCCTGGAGGGATTGAAGAAATCGACGACAAAACCCATCAGGATTACAGTCATCTGGGATGTGATGTCATATTTTGGAGGAGGGGGTATTTTTTTATGATACTGTCAGTATCTAGGCAACTGCCTCTGTGGTGTATTGGTCAGTGTTCCTGGCTACAGATCCAGAGGTCAGGGTTCGATTCCCGGCGCTACGACATTTTTTCTGAGAAGTAGTATGTCTTGAACGGGGTGCACCCAGCCTTGTGATGATAATTGATGAACTATTTCAAGGAAATAGCGGCTCTAGTCTAGAAAACCGAAATTGACGGCCGTGGGGATCGTTGCGCTGACCACCCGACACCTCTATCCGCAAAAGTTGACACTAAACTTCGCCGACAAGCGGCGGTCGTTCGTTCGGTATAGTTCTCTTGCAGACTAAAATCCCTGAGTTTTTTTTTTTTTTTTTTTGTTTTGTCAGTAGCTAGGCTGTTGCATGGCACGACTGAAATTCAAAACAAGCATCTCCAAAATGAGTCCACAGTGTTACTACTATGCCAATTCACTCGCTGGTTTCATGTAGTTTTTTGGATGGATACCAGCTGTCTTCAAGAAGTCCTAATCTGAAGATGGAGGCAGTACGTTCCTCTAAAACATCAGTATTTACCATACTACAGAGTGTCACATCCCAGATCACTGTATACCTTGTATCTGCTTGTGTATTTTATTTTGTTGCTCTCTTCCAGCTTGGTGTTGCAGTGTGTTATGATGCAAAGGGAGAAGACAAGGAGGATGTGACTGTTTGAAATAGTTCTAAACAATATTAAAGGACAAGATGGTTTTGGATCCCTAGAAAGATACTGGAATGCTTTCATATTTCCTGGAAAGAAACAGTATGTCATACTACTGTACTTTGCCTCACCTTATAGCAGTGACTTTAATTGTAAATAAATACAGGATCACCTCATCCTTCCAGAAGGTCTGGCTTCAGGTTGGAAATATCATACCTTGAATGGTGTATCATGTGCTTTGAACTGTAGGAATATATTGTGGCATATTTACTCAAGGCAAGAACTGTGAAGCCAGCAGAGGACAGCTGTGGCTAGGGAACAGCATTGCAAACATGTCCATTGCTAGGCAACAGATTCATAACTTGCAACAATGGAGTAACTGTGAAGCGGTGTTCTCTATGCGGTCCGTGTGATAGTTATGTGTTGCAACAATAGAAGAACTGTTGGGGTAGGTGCTTTCTGTGCATTCCGTGCCAGTACTGTATAATGAGGGGCGCCTGCAATTATGAAAAGATCTTGCGATGGCAGAGTGAAGAGTAGTAGGAGGTTGGCGTGAGGTGGCCACCAGCTTGGGAGTTAGTTGAAGCAATGAGTGACTTGTGAAACAGTCGCTGGCCAGTAAGGACGTGAACATGAAAGCTGTTACCAGACGACAACCGGTGAAGATACAGCAGACTGAGAAGTCTTAGTACATGCTGTAGTGAGCTGGGGCTCATGACCAGATGTTTCTTTTTAGATGAAAGTTACTGTCCTGTCCATGTGGGGCAACCTCTCTGATGAGAGGTTGGGTCTGTCATTCATCAGTCATAGTTGATAGTATTAGTCCATTGTCATTATGTACACTTATTTACAATTGAGTCTTAATATCTAGTATGTATAATATATACAAGGCTTCTGTCAGTCTAGGCTTAGTACAGCAGACTATGCCATATATCTAGTACTGTGTGTTGATTCATTGCCACTGACATATGTATTGGTTGCCATAGAAACATGTTTAGGTTGCTGTTGCCTAGCAGTGTCATCTGCCCCAGCTTTCACATCACATTCAGAAGAGAAGGTACAGCAGGGTGCGCATATTTTAAATGCAGATTACTGATTTTGGACTTTCATCATTGTCCACCATTAATGTTGATTTTGCTGTTGGATCTTTGCAGCACACGGACATGAGCAGCATTTTTTATATTTCAAAGGTACATGCTAAATCATTTTTCTTGGTTACGCCCTCTTTTCTCTTTTGCCTTGACGATGGAGGCAGTATGTATCTCTGAATGTCAGGAGAGTTCCTATATCCACTAGTGCAAAGAGGAAGGGCTGAACCAGTGTGAAATATAGATTGTATTTGGGGTTCTCCTGGCAATAACTATGAAGAGTGTGATCTTCTCGCTTTTAATTTTTTAAGTCACTTAGTGAGGGGTGGAGTCCAGCTGCGTCCACTCGGCATGGCGGCCACTGATTGGCCTATTGTATCTGCCCTGGGTGATCATGATGATGGAGAATTTGGTGGAATGAAGATTGGCAGGAGAAACCGAAGTACTTGGAGAAACCCCGCCCCAGCGCCACTTTGTCCACCACAAATCCCACTTGACCAGACCCGGGATCGAACCCGAGCTGCCGCGGTTGGAAGCCAGTGACTAACCACTTGAGCTATGGCATAGCAATGCTTGCAATGCTATGTGATTTGGAGTGAGCTCAGAATTTTTGGAACACATTGCCTCCATCTTCAGGGTTGAAGATTAAGCCAAGCAAGGAACCAGCAGAAGCAAATGGCAAGTTGAGCATGCCAAAACATTGGGCTCTGTGAACTACATGGCATTCTAATCCAGAAGGCCATCATCTTTATGAAATATACATGTTTATAGCTTGTTAATGATTGTGTTGATAGTTGTGTTGATATAAGGCTTGCGACAAGACTCAGTTATGCGCCACAATGCAGTGGAGGGAAGGACACCAGCAGACACAGCAGTGGTCCTAAAGGAAGAAAGCTCTAAGCTTACAATCAGAAAACAGCACCATGACTCAGCAGTTAAAAAGGAAACTGTGAGTTCTGATTTATGTTTTGTTCATGCAATTTGGTTAATCATCTCTGGATAACTGCATTCACATGTACTTCTCTTTGTTGAGGGGTTCAGATTGTAGTAGTCTACTGATCATGATGTTCAGGATGTCTAAAATTTGTGTATTCCTGATCTTGATAACAGGCCACAAAAATGCAAATCATGTATTTGCAGTCATCAGGGGTAGGAGAGAAGATGGTTTCTATTGCCTCCAAATCCGTGGCGGTACTTTAAAACAACTGTATTTAAGATCACAGTTTTTAACCTTGAAAAACTTTGGAGAAGTATAGAGCTATGGTCGATTGGAACCAGACAAGGAGTTACACACTGAAAATGGAGATTTAAATTTCATCCTGAACAATGGTAACCTCCCATCAGTCTACACAATTTTGTAATCCAGAATACCACAATCTGACAGGATCTGTGAAATGTTGAAATTGAATGGTGTCTCATTTATCCTGTTGTATTGATTTTTGATTGAAAGTGTGGCTTTGCAAATCAGTTTGATCATTGATAACATAAGAATTTCTCAGTTCCGTTTATGACCTCTGGATTGTGTATGAGGAGAAGTGTGGCCGGAAATGTCGAGACCAGTGATTGCAGCCACATTCTGTGAGGGAGTGTGGCATATTGTAACTAATTACCTGTTATAATGTGTATGCACCCTGCAATCATTATCTCGATCAATGAATTCAAACCCATCCACTTCACATTCTGCTGAGAACAGTTAGATACAAAAGTAGTGATTAAATTATTCTCGGAAATATACAGACACAGTTGAAACTGGTGACATGTTGACTTCACTGATTCCATACCCAATTCTCTGACCCATTCTTGAACTCAAATGCGGGAGACTATGCTACGTCAGGGAAGCTCTGGCCAGAGCAATAAGCATATGTGGTTACAAATAGTGAGATGTCAAATAAAGATATATTGTATTGTAGCATCCTGTTGAGCTCTTCTATTTTTATTATAAATCTTATTTTACAATCTTATGTGCAACTATTTATTAACTTAAAAGTTTAAAATTTAAAGGTCACAACTGTTTCGGCCAATATGGCTATCATCAGGTGTTAGAATATATCTAATTGGGAAACCGCTGCTTTCTGTTGTTGCTGCTGCTCTTACACGTGTAGGTCCCTCGGACGCGCTTGTGTGTCTGTAATATGTGTGAAAGAACTCAGTAGGAAGAAGCACAATGCTCTAATTACAGTGAGTACACAAATAAGTAACCAGATGACGCACAAAGAACTTCACATACACTGTTGTGAAACAAGACCTCAAAGCGTATTCTTGTGACATCACTTTATTACTCAACGCCGTCACTACAATTCAACGTAACTATAACACAAATGTTGAACAAGTTGTTTCACAGTCGGTTCTTTTGTGTTAACTACTCTCACTAGAATGTCAAACTGTAGAACTGTCGAACTGTCCATGCTGGCTAACCACTGGTTTCTGTCAACACCACTGTCAAAGCTGATTTATGTATATCGGGCAAGTGGGAAACGTCACCTCCGGCAGCACATCTACTGTTATGTCACAGCAGGGAAATGTTTACTCACTCGGCAAATAACACGCAACAACTAGTAGAGCAAACACACATGCAGTCATGGATCATAAGTCAAGGGATTAAAGGGGAAAGAAGTCTCAATTCCCAACATCCTCCCCATCCTGGTAAATCCAAAGGAATTACCAGCTGCACTGGATGACTGATTCTCGTTGTGTTTGTTTGTCGATGTGCAGTTCAGATCTGGTTCTCTCTTCCTGGACACAGTTCTTCAATCCTAGTCTTCTTCCACATGTGCCTTGGCTCACTAACCCCAGAAGTTTCCTCACATTCTGCGTGACACCGCTCAGAGACATAATGACACCAGAAGTTCCCTCGATAACTTGTGCTGGAAGCTTGAGTCATATGCCACCAGAAGTTTCCACCGGCCTCCCCACCAGTCCACACATGCAACAATGAGTTGTTATGAAATTTCACATGTTACAGACACACGTTTGCATCCAAGGGACCTACACATGTAAAAGCAGCAGTTTCCCCATTAGATATATTCTGACACCTGATGATTGCCATATTGGCCAAAACATGTTGTGACCTTTAAATTTTAAATTTAAAACTTAAAAATTTTAAACTTTTAAGTTAATTAAGTTAATACATAAGACTGTAAAATAGGATTTGTAATAAAAGGTCAGATAAAGTAATATATACTGATTTAATATTGTTTGTACAATAATTTATATGAGTTTATTCAATTTTAGAAACTGTCCAACACTGAGCATGTGGTGACAAGCCTGATAGCTGGAGCAATAGCAGGTGGAGCTGCCAAAACCACAATTGCTCCTATGGACCGCACAAAAATAAATTTTCAAATCTCGGAGTCTCGGTACTCAGCGCGAGAAGCATTGCGCTTTCTAAGCAACACTTATCGAAATGAAGGTTTGCTTAGTCTGTGGCGTGGTAATTCTGCCACAATGGCACGCATCATTCCTTACTCTGCGATCCAGTTTACTGCACACGAGCAGTGGAAGAGGATCCTTCATGTGGATGTCGACAAAACCCACAAGTACGCTAATTTAATTTGTTTTGTAACTGATATCTAACAAGTCAGAATTGTATTCATGAAGAAATTAAGAGCTGATTAAATTCAGTTTACAGTAATTTGTCCTAATGACTGATACCTAAAAACATGAAGATTACATTATACTAGTGTTTCTCAACCACCAGGCCGTGGCCCGGTAGCGGGTGTCCATCGTATAAAAAAAGAATTTACCGGGCCAAAGTCTCACAAAGGTTGAGAACCACTGCATTATACAAAGTATAACGTTTCTTGTTTTGTATGGTGACAGCCTCTGTGGTCTAGTGGTCAGAGTTCCTGGATACAGATCCAGAGGTCTCGGGTTCGATTCCCGGTGCTACCAGATTTTCTCAGTAGTAGTGAGTCTGGAACAGGGTTCACTCAGCCTTGTGACGATAATTGAGAAACTGTTTCTCCACAAAAGTTGGCGCAAACTTCGCTGACCAGCGGTGGTCACTTGATCAGTATAGTTCACTTGCGGACTACAGGTCACGGAGTTTGTGTGCGTGTGTTTTTTGTTTTGTTTTGTTTGTTTTGTATGGTTGTTAAACTTGTTTTCTGGCATTAAGGGAGGAGTATAGTCTGAGGGTGAATGATAATGGGGTTGAGAAGAATATTTGGGCCTAAGATAAAGCTGCATAATGAGGTGTTTCGTAATTTGTAATTTTCGTAATTTGACTAAAATTAGGTAGGATGAGATGGATGGGGCATGTAGCACGCATGGGAGAGATGGGGAGTGTATGTAAAATTTCAATAGGAAGACCCAAAAGAATACACTGGCAGCATGGTACAGAGTTCTGCACCTGCTGACTCCATTATGCTGTTCCTTTATGAATATAAAGACAGATATTTCCTGTGATAAAATTTTGACCAACACATAATTTTCGTGAAAAATGTGATTATGGGGAACACACAACATGTGCCACGTCGCTTTAAACTCTTTGTTTTCCATGAAAATTGTGCACTGGTTGAAGTGTTATCAAATCACATTTTCCCGTCAGTGTTCAAGGAATTGTGTGGTGGAACCCATAGGCACAAATTCCTGATATTCTGTATAAAAATACCTTATCATTTCAGAGCCTCATGTTTCTGTATTGTATGGGTATTTATATTTTAAGATATTTTGTTCATTCAGGACTTCTTCTTTCACGAGGTTCCTTGCTGGCTCACTAGCCGGTGTAACCTCACAGTCGCTGACCTACCCTTTGGACCTGGCCCGTGCTCGAATGGCTGTCACTCATAAAGAACAGTACCGGACATTACGAGAGGTTTTTGTTAAAATTTGGTATGAAGAGGGACCACGCACTTTATACCGAGGGTACCTACCAACTGTTCTTGGAGTAATTCCTTATGCTGGTGTTAGTTTCTTCACATATGATACTCTCAAAAGAAATTACATGGGTATGTATATAAGAAATTGTAATATTTCCTTGCTGATTTCTGCAACTTGCATTGTACAGCAAAGGGCATGTTTTAGGTGGTATTCATTCATCTGTGGAATGAAAATATTCTGAAAACTGGTTCTGAGTGATGCCTTGAAAGAAATGACATGAGGTTTATGATGTTTCTTATAGAGACAGTCACTACTCACAGATGTTGGAAACATACAGGGCCTATTATGTAAATGTAGCAGGTGATGTAATTTGGCAATGGGCTTGTTGATCATTTGCCAAATTGTTGTGATCTGGTTCCAACCAGTTTCTATATCTTTACCCATCTTTGACCATGTCATGTAACATGCACACTTCACTGTGCTTTTCACATATACAATATATTCCTAGCACAGACAGACTTGTACTCTGTTGATGGGTATATATGTGTTTTACTATCGTCTGTGACCCTTTTAAGAAGGTAGTGCTTATCCAGCATTAATGTCACAGTTATGTTTTAATAAATATATATATATATATATGTGTGTGTGTGTGTGTGTGTGTGTGTTAAAT